TTAAAAAGTGAGAGTTGCGCTCAAATTAGGGTATGGAGAGTCATAAGAATCTAAAAGATTATGTTCTGATTTTACTTCAGGCAAGAGACTGTGTACCCCAATTAGCAGTCAATAATCAGATCCGAATATGTTATCTCTCTCTCTCTGCTGAAGAGTGAGGATAATTTTTGTCAGTTGCTATGTAATACATATAGCTGATCATTCTCCATATTTACAACATATGTAATTCTTGACTATATTGTCATTCCATTAACCAGTACAATATCGATGACCTTTTCAGATTATTTGTAATTTTCCAATACTACAAAATACATTTTGCATACTTTAAATGTAGAATTTAAAGGAATGTAGAATTTTTGCATGAAAGGATATTTTAAATCCTCCAAAACACAATACATATATATTTTTTCTTAAATATGGAGTTGATAATGAAGACTCCTAATGTTTTAACTTGTAAACATCAAATGGCAAAAGTGGTACAATGGTAAAAAGTAGAGTTTTCATTACTATTCACAATATTTTATCTAGGTGTTTCATCTGTGAAGTAAAAAGTTTAGACCAGCATTCTCTAGGATTTTCTTTTCGTGTTAATAATTCAGGTTTCCATGAACTTCTATACTCTCTAGAGAACTGAAAAGTGTATAAATATATCTACATTGTAAGAACAACTTTATAGGGCCTGATGCACTATTTCAGCAGCTGAATCTTCACCTTGCATCCATTGAGATCCCGTATGAGCACTGGTTTGTATCCTGGTGGCTCCACTTCCCATTCAGCATCCTATTGTGGCCTCGGAAAGCACTCAACAATGGCCCAAAGTTTTTGGACCCCACACCTGTGTGGGAGACCCAGAAGAAGTTCCTGGTTTCTAGCTTCAGATTGGCTCAGATCCAGCCACTGTATCCACTTAGGGAGTGAACCAGCGATGGAAGCTCTTTCTCTACCTCTTCCTTCTCTCTATAAATCTGACTTTTCAATAAAAATAAATAACTCTTTTAAAAATTTTCTCTGACATTTGTTAATCTGCTCAGCTGCTTTAATAGTTAAGAATGTTAAAATAATTTAAAGACACCATTGGGTTAAGCAGTCTTGCAGTAGCCTCTTTCATAAGGCCAACTACAATGGGTTCTGATCACAACTTAGCTTGTCTCCCCCTCTGGACAAATCCAGCCATCCCCAGCTCAGTGATTCTCTAAGTATGATCTCTGGACTAGCAGCATTTGCATTAACCTAGGAGCTTGTTAAAATGGAACATTCTTGGGTCCTACTTCACATCTACTGAGTGCACAGAAACATTTTAGCAAGGCCTCTGAATGTATGTGATGCACCCCAATGTTTGAGAATGATAACCCTTTCTCATGCACCCTTTAAAGCAAGGCCTTAGCTTAATGACTAAGATCATCGATGGATCCTTTACTTCCAAAGAGATTAGGGCAAATGAAAGGAAGAAATGCAGGATGCACACAAATCCTCCCAAATGGCATCTCAGAGTGGATGAGAGCCTCCTCTGGCTGCTTCAGATCCATCTCACCCTTTTTTTTTTTTTTTGTTACCCCAGTGTTGTCGATGTCCCCAGTTCCCCAGGAGAGAAGCATTCCCTGTCTTTGTTGCTCTGGACAGACTCACTGACTCCAGTGCAGGCCTTCAGTTTTGTCAATCACCTCACACTCCAAAGGCTAGATAGGCAGCTATCAGAAGTCAGGAGAGCTGGCACATGAAAAGGAAGAGAAGGCTGTCTTCCTCTTGAGCAGCACTCCTCTAGTCAACATAAAAGGCCCAACAACTGTTTCATTCATTCACTCACTCATTCAGTCCTTCAACCAGCTATCTCTCTGCATTTGTCCCACTGCCCATCATCCCTGCTCCCACTCATCTTTCTATCTGTCTGTCCATCCATTTATCCATTCACTGTAGTCATTTTCCTTTGGTGTCAGTTTCGTTTCTCTCTACCATCAGAACTTCTCAGAGATAATGATAAATGGTATTTCATTTTTCATCCCCAGAGCTTCCCAGAATTGTTCATTGGTGTGCAGGAAGACAATCTCAGAACTTCTATATAAATAGAAGTGTCTGTTACAAGTTTTAGTTTGCAAGAATGCTTTACAATGAATGTAATGTAATCATACTGTTATAATAACTTAACATAACAATAACTTGCCATTACAAAGTGTGCAATTGGGCCTGGAGTGGTGGCCCAGTGTCTAACTCTTTGCCTTGCAAACACCGGGATCCCATATGGGTGCCAGTTCATGTCCTGACTGCTCCACTTCCCATCCAGCTCTCTGCTTGTGGCCTGGGAGAGCAGTCGAGAACAATTCAAATTCTTGGGACTCTGCACCCAGGTGGGAGACCTGGAGGAAGATTCGGGTTCCTGTCTTTCAATCAGCTCTGCTTTGATCGGTGTGGCTACTTGGGGGAGTGAACCAACACATGAAAGATCTTTCTCACTCTCTCTCCTTCTCTCTGAAAATCTGCCTTTGCAAGTGAGAGATCAGGGGTGCAAAAATCTCATGGCTTGGAGATGACTGCAAAGAAGAATAAAAGCAGAAAGCTATAGAACAATTTGTAATAGATACTGGCTTTTAGGGAGAGTCCTCAATAGCATGAAGTGGGGAAGCTGGACATGTGCCTGCCACTCAGAGAGGACGGGCCCACCCTTGTCAGATTGTATACCCCTTAATCACTCAGATAGTCCCTTCAGCCTTCTCCCAAGGCATATAGTTAGTCCTATCCTCCCCTCCCAGCCCCCAGCTAGCTTTCCCTCAACTTGTCACACCACCCTAAAGAAACATTTGGACTCAAGAGATTAAGACAGAAAAACAGGATGAAGGGTAAGCTTCAAAACTATAGGTTACTCTTTTCCATTAAAAGTACTGACAGATTTGTCTTTGACTATATTTACTGAAGAAACAATCATTTTCTAAAACATTAGCAAATATGTGAAAATGCAAGTATAAGTTAAGGCATATAAGTGAGCTATCTAAACTGATGACAGTGAAAATAAGTCACCATTTTTACATTGGCAACCTTGAGTCAATCACCTAACAAGTGGCTGAGCTTGAACTATTTGGAGTTTCCTCACAGAACCTAGAACAGCATGGTGCTACCTTGAGTAGTTGCTTAGTGGCAGAATTTCAATCTCTAAAGAAGTTATACACAGGAGCAGAAAACAAAGCAAGGAACAAATTATGCTGTAAGTTCATGTGTTATGTGAAAGAGCCATTGATTTAGTGACTTAGAAACTGCTATTTCAAGTCTTACATTCACTGATTTATTATATCAAAAGAAGTATTTCTCTTTTGCTGTTGCTGTCACAAGCAGAGGCTTAATAAAAGAAACCGTTTAGTGGTTTAATCTAAAGGGACCTACCATCTAGGAAGCTCTGAAGAGTACAGAAAGGTTGTAAAGACCAGAAAAGTCTTCCAGTCCCTTGTTTGACTAGGAGTAGCTTATTTACCATAGAAAATTCAGTAAAAAATTCTTATTATTCATTGAAGGAATAGGATTTTAGAAATCAACAAAATCATGAGTCAACAAAAAGCAGCTATATCTTTTTTAATTATTGAACAATAATGTCCTTTTCAAACAAAGCTGACAGTTTATTCAGCATACATTCAAAGACCCTCCCATGTGCACATTCACAACCCTGTTGGCAAACTTCAAGAATAAAATACAGGTAAATAAAGCGACAATTCTTAAATAAGTTCTTTACTCCAAATATAATACTTCTGCAAGTATTTCCTCACAACATCTAACACAACAGTCCTATTTGTGCTCAGTTTTTCCCCAAGCATATTCCTAACTCTGCTTGTCACTCAGGTTTGAAACAAGCAAATATGAAAATAAAACTATATTTCAAGGTTGACATGCTTCTGATTGAAAAAAAAAATGAACTTTTTTCCAAACCTCCTAAAAAGTTATTTTATACTTTGAGCTTAAAATTCATCTTATTTACAGCTTATTTATTTTGCTTTTAAATAAATTCCCTCCGTTGTCCATTCTTTGAGATTTTGTAGAGTGCTCTTATGCTTGTTACTGTTAATATTTCTACAGTTATTAATAATACATTTACCATGCCTCAGGTGTCTGGAGAGCTCAGAGTCACACCTTTACCATAATCATTTTAAACAATAATAGGTCCATTTCTTCAAAAGGATGATATATAGAAGTGTACAGGATGACTTGTCCTAACAGATTTGTTTATAAAAACATAAATATTAATCTTCACACATACCCCTTCCCTTTAAGAGAACACCCTCTTGAATTCACTGCACCTCCTAGGAGCAACTCAGAGGTGACATTCTATAAAACCAGTTATGGGAGTCCATGTTTTGCTCTCGGTCTCAGCACCACCCTTCAGATCCAGGTAACCTGGGAGCCACATTAGCAGCCCTTTGAAAACAACTCAGTTCAAGCCCAACGCCTGAATTCCTACAGGCTTCAAACATCCTACTTCCTTCAGAAGTTTTCTGGTTGTTTTGTTTTTACTTTTCCCAAAGTTCTGTTTTGTTTAAGTACAATTACATTCTGTTGAAGCTACTACAGGGAATATCTAAATTTCTTCACCCCTACAACCTCCCCATTCGCACCCTCTCTTGTTCCTAATTCTTCCTCCACCACCTGCCCCAACATTAATGCAGGGCAAGGAAAAGAACAACAGGGTCCCTTGTGGTCTTCAGTTTTGACTAGCTTTCCCTTGGGCAAACTGACTATAAGATTCTCTAAAATGTATCCTGAGTTCTTCAATGTTACTCTACATACACATTTAACAAGTCTACATGCATTCAAATATTTAGCAAAGAAATAAAAAATGAATTCAATCATATGTAATTTAGGATTTGTAAGTGGCCTACAATTTTTTTTGTGGGTACACCCTGATTCACACTTAGTTTCCGGAAATTCCATGTCCATATGCTATAATATAGACAGTTCCTAAAATGTTGACTGTGTGTTGAATAATCATTACATTTGAGGCTTTTCTCAGAAATTGCTCCAGGGGATCAGCGTGGATTTAACCATTTCATAACAGGAGATCGAGCAACATTTTCTTTCACAATTTCTTCTCTCACAGCATTGCCGTCTCCAGACGCCATTTCGGGCTCTGCAATTAGAAGGGATACAGATCATGTCCAAATGGGCCAGCACAGCTTTGTTCTGGTTTATAATGGGAATCAATATAAAGTCCTTGAGTCAAAGTTTCATGTGAGCTTATTTACCACTCTGGATCAGAGGCAATACCCTTGAATTCTTTGTCTTCACTTACCAACACCTTGACATTACTCCATACATGCACTTGTCTTTTTCCTTTTTAAAATCTTTTTTACTTCTACCCCTGGAATTCCAGTTCCAGGAAAAACAAAAGATTTTGTTTTCTTCACTGCTATTTCTTTCAGCACTTACAACAGTGTCTGGAACATTCAAGGCCCTCAATGAATACTAACTGAATGAGCAAATGGTGTCAGAATAAATTAAGATTTTTAGAAATGTAAAGAAGAAGAATTTGTTTTTTGGTGTGACCCAGAAACCAGAAGTCCAACCAATGGATAGAATTTTCGTAGAAATAGTTCTTGCTCTAAAACCTGGAGAAGTCTGTCATGTTTAGAATTTTCTCGAATGAAATTCTCTGCTTCTGTCAGTAGTAAGATATACTTGCTTCACTAGTCTGCATCCTGAAAGGGAACACTCTAAACTTAGCACTGCCTAGAAATCAAATGTGTATAAAGTCACAAAACAGTTCAGAATTCCACTCCCAGTGCTGGGGACATTTAGCCTGCTCTCAAAGGTGGACCCTAATAGCTCTGTGCCCAGTGGTGTGAAGTCTGGCAGGAATGAGGGCCCAAGCCCTCGCTCCTATTAACTCTAGCATAGGCACTGGGAAATTTCATACAGGTGATGCACTGCATGCAGGGGGTAAGGTTGGGGATGGTGCCAGGACAACTTCACCCCAGTTTGCAGCTCCTATAGTTGATGGAAGGAAATACCCTAGGTAAAGAAAGGAGGAGAAACATCTGCTTGTTCCAGAAATCTCTAGCAAGAATCTAGATACCTAATTTTAGTACAAAAATATCTTTGTACAATCTGTCACCTAATGGATGCCAAGCAATATGAAGTGACTTCAAGGAGTTTGTAGAAAATGGAATAAAATGCTGACTTTATGTCAGCTAAAAGGTAAATTGACTTGAGTGTAAAAAAGTGGCATCTGTACAAAACTTTCATGGAAAATGAATCATTCAAATAAAAAAAAATGGGCATGGATTTCAGAAGAATTTCTTGCACCCATATTAACTTATCTTTTAATTCCATTTTTTCAGGTGACTTTTGAAGTACCCTCCAAACATCCATTTCCAAGCCAAGATGCTTGCCTACACTGCAAGAAAATGAGCGGGTAATACACACTGCGAACAGAGACTGCTCCACAGACACGACTAAAAGGTCACTCCCCCCAGTGTGTGTTCAAGAGGGACAGTGTCCCCAAAGGGGACACTAAGTACAGCTCCTACCATTGAGCAATGAGTATTCCAAAGGCACCCTCAGAACCTTTCAGAACATTCTACACAAGACACACAGGGACCTGCTTCTCCCTTGGTGGGAAGGGGTAGATGCAAACTCAAGCTCTCATTAGCCTGTGGTTTTAAAAGAGTAAAGCAAAGCAGAAACCCCAAGTATTTGAGGCAGCTGGGTATCCTGAGACAACGGCCGTCACATCTGAACTAACGGCAACCTGTCCATCCCTCAGAGTTCTGGGCCCAGGAGGTATAGATCAGTGATTGCCAGGGGCAGAGGGACATGAGGAAGTGGGGCAAATGCCTAACCAGTCCCAAAATTTCTTTGGCTCTGATGAAAATGTCTGAAACTACATAGGGGTGGTAGCCACACAATATACTGGGGGAGCACTGGGTGCCATTCAAGTGTTTACCTTCAAATGTTTAATTTTAGGTTATGTGAAATTCAATTAAAAAAACTTTTAAACCCAATTTTTCACTTTCAAGAAATATAAAAACAAGCCAATCATAAGCATTCAAAATGTTTATGTCTCAATTTTCAGGTCAAATGCTCACAATATTATTCACCTGATGGGTTTTAAAAATAAAAGTTTTTCTTTTAAATTAATTTTAAGAGCATGGCCATCATAAAAACTAATAATTAACTTAAAAGCCACAATATTTCTCCTTAACTTTAACAAACTAAGTAACACTTATGCATAAGTAAGTAAAGATGAACGAATACACACATTTGCCAAAGATTTCACACCCTAATTAATTTAATGTGCAGAAAACCATACTGATTATTTTTCAACAAGAAAACCAATTACGTGCATATAAATGCCTTATCAGTCATAGTCCTCACATTCTCACAACCTGTGTAACAAATGGAAAGAAGTAACGAGCTATGTGTGATTACCACTACAAGTTCACTTATTTCCCAAGTTTCAGTCGTAGATGTTATTTCCTACTCTTTCCAAAGTCCGCGAAAACATATGCTCGGAATTATTCCATTTAAAGGCTTCCATCGGTTAAAAAAATAAAAATGTTCTCTATTTTTCTATCGCAGCTCTTAAGTCTAATCCAATAAATTCCTCACAGTACTTTCTGTGTGTGAAGTTGGGAGAGAAATAGTTTTGTCTAGTAAATATATAAAACAGATCACTGAAGAATTTAAAGAACTGTGTATAACTTGGTGGGTTGTTTTTGCAACAGATATTTTTGTAATCAATCATATTTTTCCTCTGTATAAATTAGGAAAACTTGATGACAACTTGTATTTGATAATCCTCCAAATTGTTAAATGGGATCTTTTTAGAAAACAGCAATAGCAATCAAACAGAATCAACAGCACCTGTACTAAGATAAGAGAAAGTCATCTGAATCAATGCTCTATTTTACACACTGATACTTTTTAAGTTGAAAAGTTAGTAAGTTTATAACACAATCAATTCTTACCTGTATGAGGGAGAAATCTCCTGGTGGAAGACTTGGTTACTGAGTATTGGAAGAAAGGAAATTTCAGGCATTTGCCTGTCACCCTGTCACATATGCCCGACTGGCAATTACAGGTCTGTTTGCATTCCATCCCGAAGGTGCCGTAGGGGCAGTCTGAGGACAGAGGATGGAGAGAGGGAACAGATTTTTATGAATAAGCTTCCTTCCTAATAGTTCTGTGTGCATAGCTTTAAGATTTAAAGCAGCCTCAAGAATCTTGAATGTGAAATCTTAAGTTGGGCTCAAAAAATCCAGGCACAGAAGATTGGAATTTTTCATTATAAACGTGAAGTCACACACTGAGTAGATAACGGATGCACCTTCAAACAGGTGCATCAGCTTCTTGAGTTTTAGAAATGTGATGCTGTCTTCTAATTCACCGTGTTCATGACAATCTATCATCTTAAGTGTATAAGGAAAGGGCTTCAAGCTAACTAGAGCTAAGAGAGCTGACACCCCAGTTCACCAGGAGAAATCAATCCTCAGTCTACTCCAACTCTCACCAAGTTCCCTGTCTGTCAAAGATAGCAAAGCTTACCTAAGTGCTCCAGCACACTGGCAAAAACCTCTGCTTAGACTAAAACACAACACCTTGAGATAAAAAGAACAAGTTCATTCACCTAAAACGCATCAACTTGATGGGGGAACCTGTATCTCCATACATTAATCAGCTTTTAGAAGCCAATGGAATAGATACAGAATATTTATTCTCTTGGCATGGAAAATATCCTTGAAAATGGAACCTCGCATATGGGTAAAGGAAAGTGTGGTGAGGCATCCAAATCTTTAGAAATCATTCAGTTGAATGATCAAAGCAGATATTAATGAAATTTGCCTTTCAAAGAGAGTTAGCACGTTCTGTTCAGCAGCCTTCAGAATACAGAACGACCTGTGTGCTCTCTCCTGGTAAGAGAGATCCTGTAAAGCCTCTAGCAGGAGAGCACCCAGGGTTGGCCTTTCACTGTGTCTGCACTCAAATGCTGTCAGTCTGCTGTTGTATCCTCTGATGTATTAAATAATATTGGACATATAGCAAGTATCTAATAATTGCATGATGGCTAGCCAGTTGCTGTCTGGGCAACATAGTGACAATATCTGAATATTAAGAAAAGATCTGGCTATGCAGCTGAAATACATAATTTTCATGTGAGTGCCCTGTTTAAAAAAAAAAATGAAGGGGAGGTAAGATTTGCTTGCAGCAAAATACAATCTCTCTACCTAAAGTTGCTAAGGCTCACACAGCCTCATTATTTCAAGCAGGGAGGGGGGAAATGTTCAAAAATAGATTTGTGAGCAATCTGAAACATATCCCAAAAATCAACCTATATATCTTTTCAAAAATAAGTGTCACTGACATCTGAATCTGAGCATCCATATGAGCACACTCCTAGCTTTCCGGAGTGCTGGCAATTCCAGCCACTTTCCCCCTTATTTCTTTATCTCCATGTACTTGCACATTTGCAATCACATTAGTTACAAAAGCATTTCTATGCCAAGAAGAAAAGCAATCCATTTCATATACTTTCTACCTCCTGAGTGTGACTGTGTAAACCACTTCCTCCTGAATTTCCTTATGTGAAGCACTCTTTTCTTGGCTGACAAGCCCCATAATTTACAGAAACTACAGATTCTTTTCAGTTGAAACAAATAGACATCTAGATATTCACCAAGGAAAGCATTTCTCCCAAATCCTATCTCTTGTTGGTTATAAACACGAATAAACTAAGCAAACAATTAGAATTCTCATCATTGTTTAAGAATTTCTCTCCTAGCCTTTTGTGGCAGTTGGCAGATTACAGGATGATGAATTTACAAATTATTTCCAACAGGTAAGATAAGCAGTTAAGTTGGCTAAATACAGGATATTATCAGTTATAAAATGTAATTACACTAAGTTCATAAAATATAGATTCCTTAGAAATTATCCACTCCTGAACAATTGATGAATCAATTACTAGCATGTGGGAATCTTAATAACAATTCTTAATGATATCATGAGTTGGCCACAGAGTACTTTTAAATCATCATTCTTTAGATACTAAACATTTTTGTACTAGAATCTGTTTAAACTGAAATCTACAAATGTTTTGCTATGAACATGTTATTTAACCATAATTTCAACTTAATAATTTCCTCTCCCTAAGGCAGCTAACCCTGTTCTCCACAGACTTTCAATGCTTACCTTTTTATTTCTTGCACTAATAATTGAGCTTGTCTGACACGGTTTGCTAACTCTGTAGATGACCAAAATGCTTCTAAAGCAGAATGAGGTTTGTTTTATACCTGCAATCCCCTCTTCTAAGAATGTGAGTTATTTTACTAAAGAACTTAAGCCCCCACCCCACCAAGTGCATTAGCGTTCAGCTGAGGCATTTCATCTTGAGAGATCCCTCCATCCTCGGACCCTTTCCAGATCAAACAATCACTGAATCCAGGGGCTGGAATCACTAGGAGAGGTTATCTCCAGGAGACCTCTGTAATTACTTGCCAGAGCCTCTGAACAGATTACCTGCTGGGTTTCTAAAGTTTCCCAGAAGAGAGAGGCGACACTATCCTCCACTGCAACTCTCTTAAACTCTCACTAAAGAGTGGGCTGCCTTCTCTGTCGGTGCCTTGCTGCACACTGGTTGCTGCAGAACACAGAAGGATGTGCAGGATGAGCTATCTCCTTCCACCTGCCACACCTGCCAGGCATGACCGCACCTGCAATTTTCCCTTTCCTTCCCACCCCAACGCTGACTGATAAAACCCCTCAATGAGCACTCCCCCCCGCCGGGTCCCTGGAGGGGAAGCAAGGGGTCGTTCTTTACCTTTGCAGATACCAAACTCGTCACCAAAATCATCCTCCTCACTGTAAAACTGACACCTCAGCCCCGGGCCACACTTCACACCGTCCATGCCCGAGACGGTGCGGTAGCAGGTCTCTCCCAGCCCCGCAGCACACACACGGCAACAGCCACAGTCGTCCAGCACTGTCCTCTTGCAGCGTAGGCTGCTCCTGCACTCGCGACTGTCACAGCGTTCCGGACAATCCACCGCGTACTTGGCGCTCCAGGCCACAGCCAGGTGCGCAGGTACAAGGAGCGTGGTCAGCAGCAAGAAGCTTTTCATGGTCCCAGCTGGTTCCAGCTCGGCTCCCCCGAGTCCGACGTGATCTTGGCTGGTGGGAAGCGGCCGTCCAAAGTAGTAGCTGAGCCTCTGCCTACACGTTTATGAGTTTTATACACTTGGTTGCCCGCATGCTTCCCCGTCATCAATTTCCTCAACCCAGCGGCAGCGCTGTCCTCCTGCCAGGCTCTCTTGTTTTAGTTTATGAAATCCAGGATGAAGGCTGGATTAACACGCTGCTGCCATCCAGGAATTGAAAAAGCCCAAGCTGATGTCATCTGTTATGTTTAGATGGTTGTTTTGCATGAGGACTGAAAAACTCGCTCACATCCGTCTCCACTGCCCTCAGGGACGTCTGTGAAGAAAGTCGCATAGCCTCCTTCAGGGCAGGAATTGTTCTGACACGAGCACATCACCCGGGGTGTAGCTTTGTCTCACAGTCTCTATCGCTGGGAGAAAAATGATAACGACATGAATCATCAGGACCCAAGAAGTTTCTTCTTCAAATAATAATAATACGCATCTGGCATTTCCCCCCTCAAATAGCCATGAGATCGTTTAGAAGAAAGGTTATATTGTGCCTTTTCAATATTTAGAAGAAAGAAAATATTTTGACAAGAATTTTTTTAAAGACCCTCTCTTCCTCCCTCTTACCCCTCTCCTCAAATGCAATCTCTAAAGCCTCGTATATCTGTGTTTGTCATGAATGTGGCAGCATGTCCAGAAAGAGGAGGGGCAGCCACTGAGAAATACCTTTAATATCAGCACCCGCAGCCACACTAGAGGCAAGACTTGTCCTGACCCAAAACTCCCCCACAGGAAGGAAGGCTCATCCATCACTGAGTCGCCTGTCCAATGATGGAGTCCTCTTGAAGCCCTTCCCCTCACTCAGCTCCTGGCATCTCTCAGAATCCTTGCTACAAGCCACCACGCAAGGTAGCCAGTCCAAAGACACACACACAAGTCAGTAGGGAAATCGAAACGCAGCTCCAAAAAGGCAAGTTGCAAGGCAAGACAAACATCTTCAGCAGACAGCAAAGCCTTCATGCTGTGAAGTCGCACAGGGCCTAGATCCCATTAGGCAAAGCAAAGTAGCTTTCCTCAAATACGAATTGCACCACAGCTTATTAAAAGCAAGATCTGTGGGACAGAGCAAACAAGATGAAAGAGAAGAGAAGGGGGGGGGGCCTTACATCAGCCACATAGGTTGGATTTCAAACCCCTTATGCCACTTGTCAAAATAGATGCTAAGCCCACTATCATTAGATAAATAAACAGTCTTGCCAAGTGGGGATAACTCTTGGTCTGTCACAAATTAGCTGTTGCAAATCCCCAGGTCTAAGCTTCCTCTTTGGAGAATTGATAGTGTTAGTCTAGTTGACCTCTGAAATACATGTGCATTTAAAGATAAGGGACAGAGGTTACTGATAGGATTTGTTTTTGTGAGTGCAAATGTAGAAGGAACACAGCACAGACAACAGGGTCTGGAGAAGATAAGAAATATAGGCCAGAGTTTTGGCTTCCGAACATCTTGAATTTCCTATGACAACCCAATTCAAAAGACTCCAGCTTCATCTCTCCAAAATCAAACACACATAGCAGGTGAAACACTGATGTATTGTTTTCAGTAGTAGGTGTCATCCGTTGACTACACAATATGTTCCAAGCACAGAATACAAACATTTCACATATTGACTCATTTGCCCATTATTACAAAAGTAGCTACTGTGATCATGTCCATTTTTGAATGATGAAATTGAGTAGAAAAAGATTAAATATTTTGCCTGTGGTCCCAATAATGTCAGAGACAGATTTGAGTCATGTCATTCTCATGTCAAAGTTACACACTCTTTTGCTTATTACAACATGATCATGCTTTCATTACCATTAGTTCAAAAGCCTAATTCACAAGTTAGACTGACCCTGGAAATAGTTTCTTTTTTCAAACTTTGCTGAACTCATTTTCAAAGGAAAAGAGTGGTTAATTGGAATAGTCTTTATCAATGACATGCAACTTTTAAAGAAATCTCTTTTTTTTTAAATATTTATTTTTACCGGAAAGGCAGATCCACAGAGAGGAGATACAGAAAGATCTTCTATCTGCTGGTTCATTCCCCAGCTCTGGCTGCAATGGCTGGAACTGTGCCAATGTGAAGCCAGGAGCCAGGAGCTTCTTCAGGGTCACCCACGTGAGTGCAGAGTCCCAAGCCATTGGACCATCCTCCACTGCTCTCCCAGACCACAAGCAGGGAGCTGGATGGGAAGTACAGTGGCTATAAGGTGAGGATTTACCCATTAGGCTTTTGCACCAAGCCCTTAAGAAATCTTATTATGTGTTAGATACTATGTTAAACACTTTTGTTTAGATTACCACTTTTGATTCATCAACCTCAAGAGTCAGATGCTAAATCTATTGCCCATCTTAGAGATGATAATTTTGAGGCCTATAGAGGTTAAGGAAAATCAGGATTCTAATATGAGTTCATGGATACTGTATCACTCATTCCTCTATTCCTCTCACCTCCTGTAAGCTGATCTTACTTGCCATTCACTTAATTCACACATAAGCATCATGCCTGAGTTTCAATCTTCTTCCTTATGATGGTTCTACACCTAGCAGCCTGCCTCACCCCATCCCAGCATGGCATAACAAAACAATTCAATAAGCCTCTCTTCTAATCAAAAAAGAATGTGAATTTGAGGGTATCTGTTTTTGTTTTGTTTCAGCTTGACATATGACTTTTATTTCCAGCCACATCCCCACAAAATCTATAGTCTCACTTATCATAAATGCCTCAGTCTAGTTTTCTAGATGTAGACCCCTATAGTTCAAATTTCCTAAAAGGTGTGCATGATATGCTTAATATTATACACACATATCTTTTCTATTTTGAAGTGTTTTGCTATGAAATTTTTGTCAACATGCAAATTGTGTATGTTTGCACATAGTGTAATATCTTGATATATAAGCATGAACTATTCAAACCAGGTAACTTGCATTTCCATTTCCTTTAAAGGAGCTTTTAAAACATCATCAGTTTCTAAAAAAAAAAAAATCAGTTTCTTAAATGACTAAATTACTAGCTTAGATATTGGAAATCATTTAAACATTAAAAGTGTCTAATACAAAAGAACACAAATTTAATCATGTTAGAAGTTACTGCTTCCAGCTGCAGGCAACTGCATAGGTTGCCTTGTGTACAAGCAAGTGTTACACTACCGGGAGAAAAGCAGCTAATAGCTGTCAGGATCCTGGGTCTGGTTAATGCCAAATTTTTGTTAACTATACCAATGTCCAGCATAGTTGCCTATTCTTTTATTTTTTAAGGGTATGTGGGAGAGGGCTGTTGGGCCCCACTGGAAGATGACCCCAGGGCTCATGCTAGCTGGGGAGATTGCCCAAGGAAGGGGTAATCTGGATGGGTGAGAGTGGGGGCCACCAAAGCCATATTTTACAGGTATGGAATGACATCTGGGGACTTCCACAGACCAGACCATGGCACTCTCTGGTAGATGACAGAGTTGAGACTGGGTGTTTTAGAGAAGGGAAACCAGAGGGCATCTCTGGATCAGACCATTGCAACTGTCAACATGGGAGACCTGGGCTGGGTTAGGCGGCATCACCCACTGACACCTAATCAGGGGCTGTGGGCCTGCCTGGCAGGGCTAGGCCACAATATTCATCAGTGAGTGTCAGGGCAAGGGATGGGCCATGCAAAACTAGACCACGACACCAACCGGAGCCAGCACACAAAAGAATCAAATCTGAGGATAGATTCTGTAGGAGATATTTGGGCTCACCCCTGTGGGTCTGCAGTTTGCACAAGAGTTAAGGGTGGTGATGGACTAAGCCATACATGATCATGAAACTCATGGGAACTGAGACAGGGTGCAGGCTAGGCTGGCATAAGCTGCAGTAGCTGCAGGCACACCTGAGAATGGGTTGGGGGTAGGTCAGGCCACAGAATCCACCAACACATGCAAAGGCCAGGGCTGGAGGTGAACGATACCGGGTATCGCCTATAACCCACTGGCATGCATGAGATCCAGGTCTGCAAGTGGGCCTGGAGGAGGAATTTGGGGAACTCCCTTACTAGGCTGCAGCTCCCATTGGTGAGCATGAGAGCCAGAGCTGGACTGAGCCAGGTCAAGTAGGGAATGTGTGTGGGCTGGCTCAGGGAGTGGGCCAGGCTGAGTCAAGCCAAGCCTTAGTACCCACAGACATGCATGGGAGCCAGCATAGGATGTGGGCTGCACTAGACTTGGATACTTCACCCACTGTTTCACATGAAAGCCAGGTCTGGGGTTGCTCCAGGCGAGGCTGAGCTGTAGCATCCACTGGTAAGATCTGGAATGGATGCAGGCTAGTAGGGCAAGGCCACAGTACCCACCAGTAAATGCTTGGACAAGATGAGGGCCATGTCAGGCTGGGATGAGCATCCACCACCACCACGCACAAGATCTAGGGCTGGGAGTTAGTCTGATAAAGGAATCTCAGCAATTCCCATGTTAGGCTGCAGCTCCTACTGTTGAGTACAAGAGCTGAGGCTGCGGACAGCCCAGGCCAGGCCAAACTACCCCTTAGCATACATGTGGGCCAGGCCTGGAAGCAGGCTGGGCTGGGTCAGTTCAAAGCATCTGCTGGCAGGTACAAGAGGAAGGACCAGATACAAGCCTGGAGAGGTTGGGCCAGTTTACACCTGCCAGTTTACATAAGGACCAGGATGGAGGTTCTAACAAAATTGGGCTAAGCTGCAGCACCCACCTGCATAAGCTGGGACTGGGGTCAGGCCATGCAGAAACAGGCTGCAGCACTCTCTGGTAAATGCCAAGGTGAGGCGGGCTATGCCAGACTGGACCATAGCACCCACCATCATGCAGGACCTGGGGCTGAGGGTGAGCCAGAAATGGGAATTTCAAGGACTTCCCTGCTAGGCTAATATTCCCACTTGTGAGTATGGGAGCTGGGATTGAGAGTGGACAGGGCTGAGTACGACTGCAAC